TTTTTTCTTAATAATATTTTCTATGATTTTAATTATGAATATACGTAACTAATTCCTTTTGCTAGGGCGAAGCCTTGAGCCTTAGCATGAATATGTGATTTTTATTTAATTGCTTATGATTGATTGCATGCATACTTTGAATTGTTAATCACCAGGATAAAAACTATCTAATTGTCTTAATGCCTGATCACCATTAGGATCTTTAGAAAAGTAATTTGATGCAATTTTGGTCGGAAAGTTCCCTGAAATTGACGCTGACTTCTTGTGATTAATAATTGTAATTTCACTTAGGATGAATACCACGTCTTAAGGGTTGCATGATTTTTCAAAGGGTTTTCATAAAGCATAATGAGTCTTTCATGTTCAGATTTGATCCAAGCGTCCGGACAGGTTGCATGTTAGATATACGTTCTATGTTGGAGGTTCCAAGTAGAATATGAATTAGGAAAATCTAACCTTCAAAGTGGCATGTGTAGATCATGAGTAATTGATAAAAGTTCATAGGATTGCTTGGTGATGGTGGAACCCTAGTGCTTTCTTAGTTTGATTTCTCCCAAAACTGTTTTCTTTTCCCTCTAGTTTTAATATTGCAGATTGTCTTATCTTTAATAGTTAAATTCGTTTTTAATTTAAGTAGGTTATAAAATCAATCATCTCAATTTCTACTTTACAATAATTAATTGGAATTTGGTTTGTTTCGAATTATTTAATAATCCCTGTGGAAAACGACCTTGCGAGATCCGTTTATACTACAACAACCTTGTGATTCTTGCAAGTATTATAGGAGTTTTTATCGCATTCACATGAGTAGTTAAAATCCCTATCAACGCCTCTCAAAAATAACCACTTCATAGTATAAAGTCATCCATCATCTATACTATAAAGAGGGGTTTCGAAAACATATTCTAGCATCCTATCGTCATCCATCAGATAGTCTACCAGTTCATGGTTTTTATAGAAAATACGATATATTAAAATATAGCTCAATATAGGCCGACAATTAATTCCTCACCAAAAACACGAGACGAAAATCAAAATATTCAATAAACATGCGTAACATAAAATCAAATCATAAACTCGTAAGGCATGAAATTTATTTATGCAATTAAACCATAAAATCATATAATTTTAGAGGGGGTCCACTCACAAATACTCCGTAGCAGTAGAGTTGTGCGGAAGAGGATTAAGAATTTCCCCACTAGCAACTTCACCTAAGCACAAAAATATAATAAATAAATAAAAGGGTTTCTAATGGATTTGGGCTTGAATGGATTAAGGTCTAATGGGTTTTAGGATCCTAAGGTTTTTGGGTTAAAAGGGTTTATGGTGAAAAAGGGTGGTTTGGGCTTAAACCCAAACCCATACTTACACACATGCATGTACCACAAACAACACACATACATACACACGTGCACAGTACACACACACACACGCATACAAACACGCACTGTACACACATGCATACAACACACACACGCACTTACACAGGCCGGCCTCAAGCCCAAACTCACAAGCAAATGGGTATCTAGTTACCTGGAATAGTGTTCGAACAAGTTCGAGTGCCAACACTTTCAAACTCGCCAGAAAAAGCGTGGGGTTCACCTTCGAAAACTGAGAGCAAGAGAATAAGTGCATGCAAAGAGTTAAACCCACGAATTTAACCTTAGGTTAGCCCAGCAATACTTTAAAAGTCTAAATCGAGCTAAACCCCAAGAAGACAGTCACCACCTAGCTTCAAACTGAACGACATTCACGGGAATTCGTCGGCGGAATGACATGCATGCACAGATTCTAAGCAGAGAGATTAACCCCAGAGATTTCCGACATAACCTCATCACAGATAGATTAAAACTCACACAACCAAGAAGGGAAATAATTCATACCTGAGATAGAGTTTGAGAGAGCTCAAGCTCTCTGCATTAATGGCAGAGCACCCGATGGTGCACCGATGATATGTACAACACCATAGGTGGATTCCCCATGTCCCAAGGGTTCAAGGTTCAAATTTTTGAGGGTTGATTTGGTCAACATCAAGAGAAATGGTGGGGGTTCCTTCTCGGAGCTTAGAGAGAGAAAGGTTGCAGATTATTGTTGAGGAGAAAGAGAGAGTATTGAGAGTTGCAGAGATCTTGAGGGAGAGAAGGAGCTCGAGATATGGGAGAGAATGAACACGAGGAATAGGGTGTCACGGGAGGGAAATAAACAATGGGGTTTACAGGTATTATAAGGGAGAATGGGTTCTCGGGAAGGGGAGAAAGGTCACGGGTAAGGAAAGAAAACAAAATGGCTTGGGTATAATATCCACACAAGGGTATTTTCGTAATTTAGTACATAATTTTTAAGGTGGGTTGTTAAATAGACATATAACAGTAAAAAATAGCAGCAAACTTTCTCCAACCGAGCCTTCAATTTCTTATGTGGTGTTGAGTCAATTGAAGGCTGAATTTATTAAATGATTTTTTCATAAATTAATATAATATAATAATAAATGTTGTTATGTTTTTTCAAGTATTTGATTGGTTGCCTCAATCCTTGGACCCCACAAAATAATAAGAAAAAATTAATTAAATCATTATTATTTGACATATCGGGTGGAGCAAAATATTGTACAAAATGTCAAATTGTCACATAAGTTATCAAATTATTTTAATGTTTAAAATTTGACATATTATTTGCAGATGCTCTACTATATATATATAGGGAATTGTTATTAGCACTTCAAAAATCTCATTCTACCCTCCTCTCAAGTGTATTTTTCTTTCTAATTATAGAAAATTTGAAGTGCTAAATGATATTTTTGAAGTGATAATAACAATTTCATATATATATATATATATATATATATACAGAGAGCTTAAGGGGAGGGATCCCCATTTTTTGAAAAAAATGGGGATTAGGTGTGGGGCCCACTTCACATCAAATTTCAACGATCTGAACCGTCTATTTTGTTAGTCTCGATTCATAGATCATCCTTGCAAAAATTTAATTCAATCTGAAACCATTTGCCTATTTAATCATCAATATCAAATTTCATATTTTCTTATATAACAAAGTATTCGTTCATTTCCTTGAACCCAATTAGATGTCTTAAACATTTCCAATTTAGCTAATATTTTGCAAGGATGATCTATGAATCGAGACTAACAAAATAGACGGTTCGGATCGTTTAAATTAGATATGAAGTGGGCCCCACACCTAATCCCCATTTTTTTCAAAAAATGGGGATCCCTCCCCTTAAGCTTTCTGTGTATATATATATGAAGATTCAAGGACCTCTTTAAACATCAAAATAGAAATACCATTAAATTAAAAGCTAGTTAATCGTTACGTGATTTGCTAACACAATTAGTGATTTGCTAACACAATTAGGAGATATGGTTTTGCCAACATTGGTAAATAAGTTTACCAATAATGGTCGCCCTAATGCACTGTGTTTGGCTTTAAAGGAAAATTTAAAAAGGTAAGATGGCCCTTGGGTTTCGCAAGCGTGATGGACCACACCGGAGTAGTAATAGATAGGCCATGCCAAATTGCCAAGTGTCAACCATTCACCATCGTTTTGATAAAATAAGAGATAATACTAGAAAGATTCAATTTGTAAATTAAATTTTGAAAACTAAAGAACATAGAAGTTAATGATTGATTTATTATTTAAACGTTGATAAATGTGCTTATTTTTATTGGTGACATATCATTTAGTTTCCAAATTTAGTCGAACAATACTTGTCTACTCAAAGATGAATAGGAACTCATACTTAAAATTTCTCAAAATTGTTCGTTGTCACTTTATAGAACTTCGTATTTATAATCAAAACCGTTCATATTATAAATCACCCTATAAAGATCGTCTCTGCAAAAAAATCAATTAAAACTAAGGTCGTTTAGTCATCAAACTATTTAAAAACAAATGAATGAAATTGATAAAAGCATTACGAACCGTCTATATATTTGCTACCATAGATTGACTAAACGACCTTAGTTTTAATTAATTTTTTTGCAGAGATGATCTTTTACAGTGTGATTCGTAGTATGAACGGTTATGATCATATGCATAAAACTATGTGATTAAAACACTAAGAGTTTTGAGTAAGAGTTCCTACTCATCTTTGATAGCCAAGTATAATTTAGTCTCTCTAGCATTACCCAAAAAATAAAACCATTCACCATCGGAAAAATCCATTCAAATGCTTAAAAGCACTTTTCTAGACCTTTTCGATCGACTCTGCCTCTTTGCCGATCCACTTCTTTTTGAGCCCTCACTGGACAACCTCAGATTGAGGAGAACAACTTACATAGATCAGTAATGTCTCGATTGTATTGTACATTGTCATATGAGGAAAAATTTACACACGACGATGCTTTATTGGACAAAGAATGCCTCATCGTGGTTAGAGATTTTTTAGTATATTGGCACATGAACGGATACACCGAATGTTATAGTAAATGTGGTGGAATATTTTTTTAAGTGTTCAACTACTTGTCTAATAACATTTCATATATCAAGTCGTGTCCTGGATTAACTAAAAATTTTCTTTCATACAAATCCTCTTCTTATTGGGACACATCACACACAGAAGGGCCCACACGTCCGCACAGGGCCACCACCAAAGTAGGTCAAAACACGTGGCGCCATCCTCCACCCTACGATCTCCATCACCCTCTTTCCTTGATGTTTTTGTGCGTGTGAAATTTGAAGATATAAAAATAGGGGGCAGTGTGTTGGAGGGCCTCCATTTTAATTTCTTCTCTTTCCGTTATATTACTATATTTACAGTTCCACCCCATGCTTCCTTCTTCTTCTTCCCTTGGACGGATAATATAGAACAGGAGAACAAGAAACTGATCAAAACCCTAATCATTTTCCCGCAGTTTCTCGACAACCAAACACTCCAATCTCCTTTCCCTCTCACAACCCAAGAACACATTTAGGTAAACGAGCTTCTCTACCGTAAATTTACACATATGTTCGGTTTCTTCTGTTTCAGTTTGCAAAAATTACTTCGTACTTGGAGGACCAGGACGACGACGGAGGCGCTTCTGATCTCAGCACCAGCACTGGAGACCTGGGGGACAACGACCATACCAACAGAGACGGTGTCGTTTCGACGCAACTCCACTACGACAAAACGACGGAGTTCCATTCGCTCAAGGAGGAGCTCATTGACTCCGACCCACCATAACCACCGCAGGCTTACCCCATCGGAATGGTGCCTGTGGCTATGCCCATGCCCATGTCCGTGCCCTCAACCGTCTCCACCCTGATCCGACGCTCTTCCACCAAGGACCGCCATACCAAAGTCGAGGGGCGCGGGCGGAGGATCAGAGTACCCGCCACGTGCGCTGCCAGGATCTTCCAGCTGACCCGGGAACTCGGGAACGAGTCCGACGGAGAAACAGTCCGGTGGCTGCTCGAACACGCAGAGCAAGCCATCATCGAGGCCACCGGCACAGGGACCGTTCCTGCCATTGCTGTCTCCGTCGGCGGGAGCCTCAAGATACCCACCACCGCATCCACGTCGGTCGAGGATAACTCCTCACCACCCTCCTCAACCAAGAAGCAAAAACGCCCCTCCAATTCCGAGTTCTTGGACGTGGAAAACGACGCCGTGTCGCAGTCGTCGGGTCTTGCTCCGGTGGGTCCCTCCGTGCCACAAGGTCTTGTTCCGGTGTGGGCCGTGGGCGGCCCCGGGTTGATGGTTCCGGCAAATGCGTTATGGATTGGCCCTGTGGGGTCGGGGGCCGGACCTTCAGGCCAACCGTAGATATGGGCCCTCCCTCCGACGATGACGCCGGTTTTCAACATGGCAGGAGCAGCCCGACCCATATCGAGTTTCGTGGCGAACAGAGGAGGAGGAGGATTAGGAGTACTGGATGTTCGGGCTCCATCTCCCCCGCTGTCGAACTCAGCGGCAAATACGAGCACGGTGGGACCGAGGGCGGCGATGCGGTCGTCGACGACAATGGCGCCGAGCGTGAGCTCCTCCAGTAACAACAGTAACGGCACCGGAAGCGGCGCGACGACCAAGACTCAGATGCTGAGGGATTTTTCTCTAGAAATTTACGATAAGCGGGAGTTGCAGTTCATGGGTCGACCAGTTGGACCGGAAAATCATCACCAAACCCAGTGAAATCGAACCGGAACCGGAACCGGCCCATATCCGATTGAGTGATTTAATGAGTTTGTTTTAGTTTGTTCAAAAGATTCAGTGCTGATGAAACAGCCGCCAAATTAAAAATAAAAGTTCAAGAAAATCCACAAATGTTTAACGTTTAATGATTATTTGTTTTTTTATTTTGTGGTTTAATTTTGATATAATGATATTTATTTTCTGAAAAAAAAAAATGCATGTGAAAATAATTTTCATGCAAATTAATGGCATTGCGGCGATGGGAATGAGCAGGTGACTACGTTAAAGCAGTTCACAATCTACTTTCAAATATAGAGAGTTCTCATTGAGATATTTAAACTTCTTTCTAACTACTATCACGTTATTCATCTGCACCTTAAATTGAATTCAAAATATACCGAATGATATACTAGCTGGGACTCGTCCCAATCGTTCCTACCCAACTCACGATATTTTGGAGTGCTACCTTCTTTGCGGGATGACGGCACACACACGTGTGAGGAGATCTAACATGTGTAAGGAGGACGGAGTAGGCGTAGAGTTCGTTGAGCCTGGCTGGGTGGGTGGGGCTGGGGTGCGTGTGGTGTGGTCCACCTGGAAATGGTGGGTCAACTAAGCCCAAAATCGGAGTTTATCCAAACCCCACCACAGACTACACCCCGACGCTCTTTTAAGTTACGTGTTATGTACGTTGCATCGTCAACGCATTTCTGTTAGAGCAAATCCACCGGTGGTGGATTAGGCCAGCACTCAGCACAAAAAACAGGCTGGACCCTATCCATTTACTCCAGCCCACAAAACAGACTGGCACCCAGCCCAAGCTGGTCTCTGGGCCAGCACAAAACAGGCTGACCAAGAAGCTGGGCCATTTGCTGACGTTGGCCACGTGGCCGATCCTGGGCTATTGGATTTGAATATTTTTCAAATCCAACGGTCCAAATTAATTAACTACATTAAAATTAATTAAAAATATAAAAAAATACAGATTTTTTTTTTTAAAAATACAGTAAAATTTTAAAAAAGTTATTTTTTTTTTTCTATAAATACCTAACCCTCATCTTCTACCTTATACCACATTTCAATATTTTCTAGACCTTCTACCAAAGCTTTCATATATTTTTTGTGTGAAAAAAAAATACCAAAAAGCTCATCCTTAATTTATTTGATGAGTTTATGTAATTTTATTTTAGTGTGTTTTTTTAAGTTTATTTGATGAGTATGTAATTTTATTTTAGAGTGTATTTTTTTTAAGTTTATTTGAAATTTTATCCGAAATTGGTTAAAAATCTTATCCAAAATAAACTTAAAAAAAAAAAACACACCAAATAAATGCACTGGGTGCCAGCGCATTTTTTTAGGGGTGGAGATGCCTTGGCCTATTACTGTTCACTCCAGTCTATTACTGTTCACTTGAGTGGATAAATGCGCTGGGTGCTGGCGCAAAGTCCTTAGGGGTGGACTTGCTCTTAGGGATGTGTAAAATACGCTGTGTGTGAGGGAGTTGATAGGGAAGGATCATCAACGAGAAAGATGTGATCCCGTGGACGGTGGGCCATCGTCAAAGTTGTCAATGGCTGGGCGATGAAGTCGAGTGCACCAAGGGGTGTGGTGGGTTCCACTCGTTACACTTGGAGGATTGGATGTTTTCTAGTCCGAGTAATATTAGGAAGATTAAATTTGAAGAAATTTATTTGAAAACTAAAAGTTATGTAATGATGATTGATTTATTATTTAAATATCAATAAACGTGCTTATTTTTATTAGTGACACATTATTTGGTTTGTAAATTTAGCCTCATAACGTTATTCTTTCTTGCCCACATTTGCACTCTCCTAAGTTGGGCTGGTTGATCCGATCGAGATGGGGGAAGGCACACAGATTGGGCTCCCTTTGAGAAATTTTTGAGGATGTGCTATCCACAGTTTTTTTTTTTTCTTTTTTTTTTCACACATTTCTTATTAATTTTTGTTGTTTAATCTTAATTCAGTCTATTTGACAGACGCAAATTAAGAGGATGTGTGGAACACTGGTGATACACCACAGGTTATTTTATAAGTGGAGGGAAGTTTATTTTTTTTAGTTGTTAATTTTTTAAAACAAGTGTCTCACCACTTGTATAGTGACATGTTATGTACCACTGTGTTTCAAACATATTGAAAAATCTCTCATTCTTCCGCTCCCCCTTCATCAACCACATTAATATGGGCCCCTTCAGTTCTACTATGGACGGCTCCCATGTCTGATGAGGATCTCAAATATTTTAATTGTTTTGATACCTTTTGATTAAACCTAGCATTCATGTTGTGTTTCTCGTGTTCGTGTCATACCCGATATTTTAATAGGTCGTATCGTGTAACACCCGTTAAAATAAACGGGTAAAATGACCTGACCCGAAATCGACCCGATAATATTAACAGGTAATATGACCTAATCCATTACCCGTTAAGGAAAATATATTTTAAACCAATAAATAATCAAATGAAAAACATAATACTAAATAAGTATATACATACCATATTATCACATTCAAAACATAAAAACGCATTTGTCTTTCAAGTATTACATAGTTACATACCCAAAATAAGAGCATAAAAAAAACATTAGAACATTACAAAATATCAAATGTTCAAAAGATTTGCAAAATTAAGAGAGTTATGTTTCAAGGTTTGGAACCTTGCACATTTTCTTACAATCAAACTCTTCAATTTTCATCAATCGCCATGGGAAACGGTATTGGAACTTTGGCTTGATATATTATCTATAAGAGTTATATTGATGATATTTTTAGTGAGGCTTTCTACTTTAGCACTATCTTCTCATTTATCATATAGCTATTGTTTAAGTAAAGTCTTTAATAGTTTTTTAATTAATGTAGAAGTGTGAAAAATATAGAAAAAATATATAAACGCTCATAATGACAAGCTTTACAACTTTCGTAAAGAGTTTAGCTTTGAAATGTGCCACTATAATCATATAAATCATAAATCAAAATTTAACCGTCAATTGTTGTTTACATTTATGCTTCATTTTTCTCACCAAATTTGTTTTTTAAGATTTTCTTTTTTGAAAACATGATCTATTAGAAGATATAGGAAGATGAACGGTTCGGATCATTGATATTATGTTCAGAGTTTTACCGTTGGTGAAAATATTGCTTGGTGTTTATAAAGTCTTTACAAACTATATAACATCGACTCATATTTTAATTAACCGTAAATATCAGGACATGATATCAAAGATCCGAACCGTTCATCTTCCTACATCCCCCAGAAGATCATGTTTTCAAAAAAGAAAATTTTAAAAATGAAATTAAATATAAAGAATAAAGCCTAAACGACAATCGACGGATAAATACAAATTTAAGGTTTATGGATTATAGTGTCGGATTTCGAAGTTGACCCCTTTACGAAAGTTGTAAAGCTTATCACTATGAGTGATTGTGTATATATATATATATATATATATATATTTTTTTTTTTTTTTTTTTTTACATTTCTTACACTTCTACAATAATTATTATTAATTTGATTACTTTTACACTCAAATAAAAAACACTATTCATGACGGTTTGGAGGGTTTTAAAAATCTAAACGATAATTTAAGTGTAACCATTGTTTACTCGTGGAGGAACGATGAATCACGAGTGTTTATATATTCTTTCACATTTTTCATACTTGTAGGGATGTCTTATTGCCTATACTAATACTATACTAGTATTAGTAATTTAATAAACTCTCAAAAGACATGTAAAATTTATCCTATTAATGATAATAAGAAACTCTCAAAATAAAAATAAATAAATGAATAAAACTTAATTTTTTAAACTTATATAGAATAATAATACAAAAAATATATATTTAATATATAATATACCAATATATACAACATGGCTATTGTATTTTATAATAAAAATTTTAGTAATTAAACTTTAAAATTAAAATTTATTTTTCTTAACGGGTCGAAAAAGGTTACCTACATGTTACCCGTGTGTATACCCGTTAAGAACCTGTTATTAATGGGTTCTTAACGGGTCACTCGATAATGACCCGATTGGTTATTGTGTTGACCCGAAACTCGTTATTTTCGTGTCATTTTCGTGTTGTGTAAGAAACTGCTGGGTCTACTTTTGATCACATATATCAATACTTCTCAGTCGTTGATGCATAATGGCAACCCATATTCAGTACGGCTTAAAAGTACACTTGGTTTCATCTTTCATGAAAGACTTCGAGTTACTCAAGCGCTTGGCGACTAAAGCATTTATTTACGGGCAGCAGGAGTTCCATGCATATAGTATGTGTAGGTTTTTATCTTGCATGACGTTATATTTTTAATTAGAGAAATTCATATTTCAATATATTTGTTTTATGTAAGTTGCTTTCATCCTTGAGGGATAGACATATCATGCTGATATTTTACAGTTTCATGTTAATGTTGAGTTACAAAGAAAAATGATGGGGAGTGATTTGTGCTACGCACTATTATTTTTCCCTTTCTATACATTTGTTTAATAGTGACCCTTAATTTTTTTTTTTTCTGATTTGTTCAATTTAATGATTAAACAAAAAGAAAAATGTGCGTGAAGTAAGAAAACAAATGTTAGCACACACATTTACCAAAATGCCAAAATAAAAAAAATTCTCTCATGCATTACAAGTGAAACCAATGGAGGCCAAAATCATGGCGCTAATGTAGGAGCGATTTCATTCCAACGAGGGCATCATGTGATACCTCTAAGAGCAAGTTCACCCTACTGAGGCAATAATTGCCCTATCAATTGGGCAAAGGCAATTATTGCCTTAGTGAATAGAAATTATTCTAGTGCATCTCTACCTATATAAATAAATTGCCCAAGCAATTAGTATTAAAAAATATTTTAAAAATTAATAAAAAAATTAACAAAAGATAAAATATTTTTATTTCTATAAACATCTTACTCTCTCTTGAAACTTATTTTTCCTCCCCATCTTTCTCTTTTTCTCCGTCTCATCCCTCCCCTCTATCTCATTTTCTCCCTCAAGTTTGCAACCGCACTTGAGTAAACCAAAACTCCACTTGAAAAACCCAGCTTTGAGTAGAATTTAAACCTTACTGGGGTGCAAATTTTGGGCATCAGATCAAGTAGAGAGCTCAGATCGGAGCGTGTCGA